CCTGTTTTCACCTATAAGGCGGCCGGCTCTGTTCCTCTTGGGTACGCTGTCCTCTTGCGGGGTTCTATTTTTATTTTTGTTTATCTACCTGGTGGGGGGTCTGCCTTCATTCTTGACCCCTGTGTCCCTTGTGTTCTGAGTATTATTCTGGTGGTACCCCCTGCTAGGTCCCCGTGAGTGTACACGTCTCGGGGGTTCAGCTCTTAGAAAGCTGTTTGGTAGCTTTGGGCGCCAGTTAGCAGTACCCTGCCTGGGATTACCTGAGCGTGAGTCCTATTATAGTAAATTCTCGGGAACCTGGGAAACCCCTGGGGGCACGTGTTTCCGATGGATGTGACCCCAGAGTCCCCCCTCGCTTCCAGCGAGTTTGACGGTTGCTCTCACCCCTTGTCTCAGGGTGACTCTCTGTTTTGCCTCCGTCTGCTGCCTGTGGGGTCGGTGACACCTTCGACCCGGGGTCCTGCGAGTTTTGTTCCTCGTTGTGGCTCAATTACCCATTTGTGCTAAGTGGGTGCAGGCAGCAGGGTCGTTGCACGTTGAGCCTTGGTGGTGGCAACGCTCTCGTCTGTTTGCTCCCCGGGACCCCCGGGGGTGCCCCGGTTTGGTTCATGTTGGGACTTGGGGGTGTTGGTTGCTGCGGTTCCTTCCACACCCCCTTGTCTTTGCCCTGGATCCCCCCCTTCCTGCCTCTATCCGGTTTCTTACTGACTTTAGGTTTGGGGCGGGGTTCGATGGTTTTGAGACTTGGGCGGTCTCGGGGACTTCCCCTTCCAGGGTAGTGACGAGGGCATTCGAGCCTGTTCCTCCAGCCATGTTGTAAGAGTCTGCCAGTGGGCTCCCTACCTTAGTATTTCGCGGCTGCCCCGGTTTTTTGGTACGGCCGGGGCTTTGGGGGGACGGCTCGGCCCCGGGGCCTGTTGTGTGGGTTCCCAGGGCTGACTTGGGGATGGGGCCTAGGAACCGTAGGACCCCGCGGGTTTTTTTTCTGCCCTTTAGGCGGGGCTTGCGGTTACGCGGAGTGGAGTTTTTCCTCCCCCCCCACCGTACGAGTTGTTGGGCGTCGGCCCCTCCCCGGGCTCGGTTCCTTGTCCTTTGAGTTGGTTGGTTCCGTCCTGTAGGTGGGTGCTCTTCTCTGTTGCTCCCCCCTTTTTTGGGGACGGGGTATCTTCGTCATGTTTCCCCGTTCTTGGGGTTCTACGTGACTTTTTGTCTCGGGTGCGACTGTGCCTTTGGGACTGGTGTTTGCTTCTGTGTTCTCGAGGGTTTGGGAAGATTTTCGCTACTTCCCTTATTATTGGAACGTCTGTCGGCTCCTAGTCTGGGTCGCCATATTGGGCTACTCGTGGCCCGGTTGGGTTCCCATTGGGCTCCGTTTCACTTCGTTGGCCGGTTATGTTGTCGCTGCTTCCTCTTTTGGCTCCTGTCCCGTGTGATGGGTTGCTTTTTCTACTTAGCGGTTCCTTAGGGTTGCGTTCTGTTTGGCTACTTTTCTTGGGCAGTAGTTCTGGTTGGCGCCTTCCCGCAGAGCGGGTTGTGCAGTTCAGCCAGCGTGTTTTGCGCATGCGCATGTGTTTCAGTGCTGGTGTTTTCCGCCCTTTTTTCTCTGGTGCTTCGCCTCTCGCTCTTCTCCCTTCTCCGGTATGTGCCCTGTCGCTCCGGGGGTGTTCTGGATTACAGCTGTGGGGAGGACGCTGTGGTTTTCCTTGTGTCATGGGTGTGGGCCTCCTCCTTTGCCCCTACTCCTGCGTGTCCGGCTCTGGCTTCTTCACCTGGCAGTGCTCCCAGGATCTTTTTAGCACTGTTGGGTCGTGTCACGTTCGTTCCTCCGTTCGACAGGTGAGTTTCTGTGGTCTAGCACCCTTCGGCCGGGTGCTGCGTGCAGAGATGTTTATATACCTGTCATTCTTTAGCTATATTTATGTACGAATGAGACCGTTGGCACACCAGTGACTGTCTCTTTTCAACCCTTCCAGTCCCACTCATAGGCATGTGTCCAACCCATGCTAGAGTCATTCAGGGGACCCACCTCTTCGTGTTTTGAGGTGTATGGATTGTGATGCTGGTTATGTCCTCACCTGGTAGGGCTCACCTGGTTGTGGTTGTGGGGTTTGAGCTCTGGCTCTTGGGTCCCGCCTATATGGAAGAACATGGGGGATAGTACCAGTGGAGTGCAGTGGTGCCATAGGCACAATCGGGGAAAACTGTATAAACATTGTAGGTCTGCGGTTGTTAAACGTCCTCCCTGCGTGCATGTGCCATGTTGTCGGTGCATCTGTGGACTTCAAAAGAACACTGGCCTGTTTTCAAATAGAGGTTCCGGCCCATCCTGGCAGTGGTGGATATGTGGGCCTGTAGGCCGCTCCAAGCAACAGCTTGGTGGACTGTCCTCTCACAAGTCAAGCCTAGCCACGGGCCGGGCTTGGGGAGTATATGAACTCCCAGAACCCCATCAAGCGGGTATCGAGTAGGTATCTCCGCCGTCGGTCACCTGGTGTGCAGGTTCCTGGGCCTGCTGGGTTCTTTCGTGTTCCCGTTGGCCCTGTCTGGAGTCTGCCTGCACCGTTCTCTGCCTTTGCAGATGCAAGTTGCTGCTTCCATGTTGCGTGTTGTGTGTGGTGCATGTTGCTGCTGCATGTGTGCATTGGTAACGTGTTTCGCGGTGACATGTCCTTGTTCCTGTGTCCGGTTGTGGTGTGGCACTTTGCTGATGTTTTGTGCCTGGGGTTTGCGTATGGGGGTTTGCTTGTTATTTTTCGTTGTCTTCTTGTCCCTGGCTTAGCCCTTCCATGTGCGTGGGGTTCTGTCCATGCCTGATTGTTCAGCCCTGGTTGTGTTTCCTCAGGTTTGAGTTTTGGATCTTTCGTCCTGCCTTTTCCCTGTCGCTTCCCTGGCATCTCCTTTGGTTGGTTTTGCCTGCACTTGCTGCTGTATGGAGGGGTCGGTTTCTGCTGCTTCCCTTCCTTGTGCATTCCCTTTGTTTCCTCCTCTGCCGCAGGGGTTGTCTTCGTGCGTTCCTTGGCTTCTTGGGTGTTCCTTCAGCCTGTGTCATATGGGGTGCTTCAGTGTCTTGGTCTGTTTTCATTGCTCGTACCCCTTGGTTCAGGTACTGTTCTGGTGGCAACCCTTACGCCTTCTTCGGTTTTCCTGACTTGCCCTGCCTGTTGATTTTTCAGGGTCTTGCAATGTCTCGTGTCAAACCCGTCGTTTCTGTTTTCCTGGCGGACTTGCTTGCATTGGGGAGCTTTCTGTTCAGCAGACGTTCCATCTCCTTTGTGCAGGCTTCGGCTTGGTGGTCGAGCCCAAGATCTTCCCGCAGGAAGAAGAAGCCAATTTTTCCTGGACTTGGATGAGCCTTGTCGGGGCTGATTACGTTCTGCCTCGCGTGTCTCACCTCCGGTTGGTGGTCTGGTGGCTTCGTTATTGGTGTCCCACCTGCGTACTTCTTCTTGGCGGCAGTAAGGGGTATTTTGGCGGTCCTTCCTTTTCCACCTGTCCCTTCTTAGGTGGTTGCGGTTTGTTAGCGTCGTCTTGGTTTTTCTGGTGGAGGTTGGGGGTCGTCGTCTTGCCACATACTGTCGCCTCGTTTCGTGCGGCGCTGGCGGAGCCGCTTCGGCTAGCTTTCGGTCTTGGTGTTGCTTCTGCACCGTTCGTAAGCCGTCTCGTGCGTTGTTTCACCTCCGGCCTGTTTGTGCGCTGCTTGCACCGTCCTGGTCTCTGGTCAGTGTGCTCTGTCTTCTCCTCGGTTGGGGGTGCCCCTTCGGTTCCGGTTTGTTTTTCGTCAGTTTTTTTTCCTATTGGCATTTGCCTCTGGGGGTCGGGTCGCTGGGCTTCTTGCTCTCCTCCGCAGGGGTTTTCTGCTCCTTCGGTCTTGGCGTTTTGGTTGTTCGGTGGCAGTCATCTCCATCTTTTCTGGCATGAGATGGGGCTGCTGCATTTCGGAGGGGTTCTTGGTTTGTTGGTATTTGGTTGGTCAGGCCGGGGGTGTGTTGCATTTTGTGTTCAGTGGCGGCCCTCCGCTGTTGTTTGCGTGCCGTGGCCTCTAGGTCCGGGGCGCGCTTTGAGTTGATCCGGTTCCGTTGTTCCCTGTTTGCGGGTGAAGGTGTTCCGGGTTGTCTGTCATGTTATTGCGGCTAGCCTGCCTGTGTTCTTTCTCCATGGCTGTGACGTTCGTGGCTTCGCTACTCTTCCTGCCGTCTGGGCGGCGTGTCCTTGCTGTCATTTGTGCATGGATCTTTGGGTGTTCGTACAGGGGCCTTGCTGCTCATTCTCTCATGTTGTTCCTGGGCTCTTTCGGGGCTGTGTCGCCTTGGGTTGGCGTTGCTGCCGGTTGTCTCACTTCTGTTAAGGGGGTGAGTGGTGTCCGCCTCTCGGTTCCGTCCCTTTGACCTTCCTTTGTGGGTAGTTAGCTCCGGGGAGCGGACGGGGCTCCCCCCAGAAAACCAACGTTGAATGTAATGAAACGCCATTTTCTGAGCAAGACCCGGAGGCTCTCCGGCATCCCTCCCTTCCTCTGGTCGGCGGTTTTTCGTGTGTTTTGACATCCAGCCTCAGAACTGATGGATGAATAGCTGGCGTGAGAGGTCTGGGGCTCCCCCTTCCACCTCCCGAGGAGGGAGGAGCTGCGCTGACAGCGGTGCTGGGACGTGTGACGTCATACTAGTTTGCTTCTTTTCTGTTGGGGAGTTCTATCCACTAGTTCGGCTTTTGGTAGCAATTTTAACCAGATGCTTGCTTTTTTGGATGCTTGACCCGGTCGATGGCAGACATAGAATGCTTCCAACCACACGGGAGTTTCTATAGGCCATTGCTCCCCTTGCCTCTCTGAGGGGGGGCCAGGTTCTGGCCGTGGTCCCTGGTAGGCCCTAGAACTCCATACACATGACTGATGCCAAAGTCTGACATCAGCATATCAGCCTGGTAAAGTTCCGGGGAGCCTCCGGGTCTCACCCAGAAAATGGCGTTTCATTACATTCAACGCTGGTTTTTTCCCCTTTTTCCAGCTCTGTGGCAGACCAACTGAAGCTGGGGATGCCTGTGGCGCCTGAAGAGTTTGATGAGGTGACCATCTACTTCTCTGATATCGTGGGTTTCACCAGCATCTCTGCCTACTCTACTCCTTTTGAGGTGGTGGATCTACTCAATGATCTCTACACTTCTTTTGATTCCACCATTAACCACTATGATGTTTACAAGGTTAGAATTATATTTGACTCAGCCATTAACCCTTAAAATGAACATGCTATTTTGATGCATTTTGATGTCATGTACAAGAAAAAATTGTGCTAAATTATCATACTTTTTCTTTTGACATTTTAATTAGTATTCAAAAAGCATTAAAAATCTATGTAAAAATTCTCTACTTCTTGTGGTTTAGATGTAGTGGCTCGGAGAAGTTGGGTTTTTGCGGTAAAAATGAGGCGAGATGCCGCACAAGAATAACTTTTAATCTTTTCATGCTTTATTATTTTTTCATACCCATATTTTGCATTGATATGTCAATAATGGCAGTCATTATGTATACTTTGGAAACATATGTATGTACAGATATATTTGTATACAGTAGTGTGTAATTAAGTGTAGTTACAGAATGTGAGCTACGGTCATGTGTCCCGTCTTCTCAGTACTATATAACGCTTTGTAACTACTGACAGGTTTGGCCTCCACAACTTTCTCACTTTTTTCAACCGTCTACCACTGATTGCAGAAGAAAACTTTCTAATATATTTTTGGCCCCTTTGTTTCCTTAGCTTGAATCTATGACCTCTTGTTCTTGAGGTTGCCATTTTTTATGAATTCCTCTGTCAATTTAGTCAATTCCTGTTATTATTTTGTAAGTGGCGATCATATCACCTCTTTTTCTTCAATCTTCTGGGTTTGGCATATTTAATGCCTCTACCCTCTCTTCATAACTCTTCAATTTTCAGGTCTGGAAGCCATTTTGTAACATGCCTTTGCACCTTTTCCAGTTTATTGATGTACTTCTCGAGATATAGGCACCATACAACTGCTGCATATTCTAATTTTGGTCTCACAAAGGTCATGAAGAGTTTCTTTAGTATTTCACCATCCATATAATTAAAAGCGATTCTGAAGTTAGAAAGTGCAGCATATGCACAATGTCTTTTATGTGTTCCTTTGGTAACGTTCTACTATACAGAACCACCTCTAGATTTCTCACTTTTGTTAGTTCTTTAACCCTTAGACTGCACAACACATCAATAGCTAGGGTGAGTATCTGTCACAGAATTGCACATCACAGCTATTGATGTGTTGGAATACCGCGCAAAATTTAAACGGCCCATGGGTTGGCGGGGGGGGGGCACCCATACGCTGCCCAAGACCGATAGTAAACAGACGTCGTCTTGGAAAAAATCCAACATAGGCCGCCATTGTGTAGGGGCATCAATTACCCAGCAGACACGTTGGGGAGCGCATCACATCCCAACGCCTGACCATGCTCAGTGCACCACACCTCGTAATCATTGACAGGATGAAATTCATACTGAATTATTTTCTGATGGTGAGGAAAGTGATATTGATGACTCTGACATCGATAAAGACTATACACAGGAGTCCGATAGGAATCTAACAGAGTGAGAATGAGATACAGCCTGCTGCCAGGGCGAGGCCTACTGTTCACCACTGCCGCCACTGCCGCCTCGCTCACTCTCTACACCAATTCACTCACGACCACACAGTTCTTATGGTTATTTGCAGTATCTTGAGGTTATCTTGAGAGGATTTCGGGGCTTAGCATCCCCGCGGCCTCGACCAGGCCTCATTTTTGTTACGCTACCCCCAGGAAGCAGCCCGTAGCAGCTGTCTAACTGCTAGGTAACAGAAGCATCAGGGTGAAAGAAACATTTTGCCCATTTGTCTCTGCCACCACCAGGGATCGAACCCAGAACCTCAGGACTACGATTCGGAAGCGCTGTCCACCCAGCTGTCAGGCGCCCATGAAGATATGAAGATGTATGGAGTATGAAGATATTTTAGGCGACGAGTTAGAGGAAGGTGACTTTTTCTGGTTTTAGTGAAGTTGAATCGAAAAATAGTATTACCACGCCTGTCGCTAGTGCCATTGGTGAGCGTGGTGTTACCAAGCGATGTTTTGTCGCATCAGCAGCGTCTCGCCCAGCCAAACGCCGCCACATGGCACCACATGGAGACAATAAAGAACAAAGCCCCTCCTGTTCACGTAATTTTACCTCATCTTCAGTTTGCTCCCCATACTGTGTGTGTGTAGACAGGCTTCAGCTCCTGGTCCACGGTGAGCAAAGATTCCGCGCCATGGTACCACTGCTGTGTCTCGCAAGACACCAGGTATACTTGTGTGGAGTGATGGTGAAGATTTTGTTCAACTAATTCCTGCCTTTGACAATAAAGATGTTGGGATTACAGACCTTTTCCCTGATACTGGCGAGTCTAAACCTTGGACATGTGTGAGATGGACTTTTCTGGGAAGAGCCCCTTCTGCTCCCTTGAGCTAACCAGGCTGATATGAATATATTAGACCCTGGCATCAGTCAGTGCACATGGAGTTCTAAGCCTACCAGGGACCACGAGCCAGAACCTGGCCTCCTCAGAAAGGCATGAGGAGCAATGGCCAATAGAAACTCCCCCGTGTGGTTGGAAGCATTCAATGTCTGCCATCGACGGGGTCAGGCACCCAGAAAGGTAAACATCCCAAAACAAGCCCCTATCCTGGTTAAAATATTGCTACTGAAAGTCGAACTAGTGGACAGAACTTCCTAAATGAAAACGAGCAAACAAGCATGATGTCACCACGTCGCCGCGCCGCTGTCTGCGCAACACCCCACCCCCACCCGGGGAGGGGGGAAGGGGGAGCCCTAGACCCCCACGCCAGATATCCACCCCGCAATTCTGTGGCTGATGTAAACTGGTAAGGTTGTGTGCCTCTGGCTCCTGTGTTTCCAGTTATGTGCCTTGTGGTGTAATTACCTAAGTATAGTTACAGGATGAGAGCTACGCTCGTGGTGTCCCGTCTTCCCAGCACTCTGTCATATAACGCTTTGAAGCTACTGACGGTCTTGGCCTCCACCACCTTCTCACCTAACTTGTTCCAACCGTCTACCACTCTGTTTACAAAAGAGAATTTTCTTATATTTCTCCGGCAGCTATGTTTTGTTAGTTTAAATCTATGATCTATTTTTCTTGAAGTTCCGGGTCTCAGGAATTCTTCCCTATCAATTTTATCGATTCCTGTTACTATTTTGTATGTAGTGATCATATCGCCTCTTTTTCTTCTGTCTTCTAGTTTTGACATGTTTAATGCTTCTAACCTCTCCTCGTAGCTCTTGCCCTTCAGTTCTGGGAGCCACTTAGTAGCATGTCTTTGCACCTTTTCCAGTTTGTTGATGTGCTTCTTAAGATATGGGCACCACACAACAACTGCATATTCCAGCTTTGGTCAAACAAAAGTCGTGAACAATTTTTTTAGTATTTCGCCATCCTTGTATTTAAAAGCAATTCTGAAGTTAGAAAGTGTAGCATACGCTCCTCGCACAATATTCTTTATGTGGTCCTCAGGGGATAGTTTTCTGTCTAGAACCACCCCTAGATCCCTTTCTTTGTCAGAATTCTTTAAAGATGTCTCACATAATTTATAGGTTGTGTGGGGTCTATGTTCTCCTATTCCACATTCCATAACATGGTATTTATTCACATTAAATTCCATTTGCCAAGTGGTGTCCATATACTTATTTTGTCCAGGTCTTCTTGAAGGGCATGACAGTCATCTAAATTTCTTATCCTTCCTATTATCTTAGAATCATCAGCAAACATGTTCATATAATTCTGTATACCAACTGGTAGATCATTTATGTAGACAATAAACATCACTGGTGCAAGAACTGAACCCTGTGGTACTCCACTTGTGACATTTCTCCATTCCGATACATTGCCTCTGATTACTGCCCTCATTTTTCTATCAGTCAGAAAATTTATCATCCATGTTAGAAGCTTACCTGTCACCCCTCCAATATTTTCCAGTTTCCAGAACAACCTCTTATGTGGAACTCTATCGAAAGCCTTTTTTAGGTCCAGATAGATGCAGTCAACCCAACCATCTCTTTCCTGTAATATCTCTGTGGCTCGATCATAGAAACTGAGTAAATTCGATACACAGGATCTTCCAGATCGAAAACCATACTGTCTGTCTGATATTATATCATTTCTCTCCAGGTGTTCTACCCATTTAGTTTTGATTAGCTTTTCCAATACTTTCACTATTACACTTGTCAATGATACAGGTCTATAATTGAGGGGGTCTTCCCTGCTGCCACTTTTGTAGATTGGAACTATGTTAGCCTGTTTCCACACGTCTGCTACGATTCCTGTACACAGGGATGCCTGAAAGATCAGGTGAAGTGGAATGCTGAGCTCAGATGCACATTCTCTCAGAACCCATGGTGAAACGCCATCTGGGCCAGCTGCTTTGTTCTTCCCGAGCTCCTTTAGCATATTTTCCACTTCATCTCTAGACACCTCTATCCGCTCTATGTTGTTCTCTGGAATTCTTATTGTGTCTGGTTCTCTGAAGATTTCATTTTGTACAAACACACTTTGGAACTTTTCATTTAATGTTTCACACATTTCCTTTTCATTTTCCGTGAATCTGTTTCCCATTTTCAACCTCTGGATATTATCCTTTACCTGCAATTTGTTGTTTATGAATTTGTAGAATAGGCCCGGTTCTGTTTTACATTTATCTGCTATCCCTTTTTCAAAATTTCTTTCTGCCTCTCTCCTTACTGCTGTATAGTTGTTTCTCGCATCTTTGTATCGCTGGTATGTTTGGGGGTTTGGCCTCTTCCTATACTGATTCCATTTTTGTGTCTTTTGGTCTCTTGCCCTCTCACAATTTCTGTCGAAGCAATCCTGTTTTCTGGCCCTGCATCTCTGTTTTGGTATGAATGTTTTTGTGCCTTCCTCGTATAGTTTTAAAAATTTGGCATACATTTCATTTACTTCCCTGCCTAGCAACAATTCTGTCCAATTACACTCATTAAAAAAATTTCGAAGTTCCCCATAGTTGCCTCTCCTTAAATCGAGTTTATCAACTGTTTCTATGTCCCCATTTTCTTCTAGATGATATCTTAAAGCATATTTAATGTCTAACAGGACGTGATCACTCTTTCCCAAGGGAGGAAGGTACTGGATGTCAAAAATCTCTTCTTCTTTCCTGGTGAATACTAGATCCAGTACTGTGTGTGTGTGTGTGTGTGTGTGTGTGTGTGTGTGTGTGTGTGTGTGTGTGTGTGTGTGTGTGTGTGTGTGTGTGTGTGTGTGTAATTACAGATTTCTAGTATTAAATGATGTTCCTCTAAAAAGGAGCTTTAGCCTCACACGCATGCGGTTTACGGTTCGAGACCCGTACAGCCCAGGTGAAAGACATGTTCCTCTAAAATTGGTGGAGCTATTAAATAAAATGGGGCACCTTAAATCTTCTCCAGACGATTGAAAAATATGGGCCAATCACTCCCAAGTGATTTGAGCAGTGTAAGGGTTAATCACTATGGTATTTACAAGGTTATAACTTCCTTTGGTTCGACCAATAACCCTAAACTGTTTACGAGAGAAGTTCATTTGAGTGACCTGTGTTACAGGTGGAGACCATTGGTGATGCCTACATGGTGGTGGGTGGAGTACCGAAAAAGATTGAGGACCATGCCTGCCAGATAGCCACCATGGCGTTGGACCTCCTGCACCTCTCTGGCAAGTTCAGGATCAGGCACCTTCACAACATTCCCCTCATGCTCAGAATTGGCATCCATACAGGTAACCATTTATTATAACATTTACTCCAGAAATGTTACCCATAGATAATAATTCATTTTGTTAGGGACAGGAAATCTGCGTATATATATGTGTGTATATACACAAGCATACATACACACATGCACACATACACAAACAGGCTAACATAGTTCCAATCTACAAAAGTGGCAGCAGGGAAGACCCCCTCAATTATAGACCTGTATCATTGACAAGTGTAATAGTGAAAGTATTGGAAAAGCTAATCAAAACTAAATGGGTAGAACACCTGGAGAGAAATGATATAATATCAGACAGACAGTATGGTTTTCGATCAGGAAGATCCTGTGTATCGAATTTACTCAGTTTCTATGATCGGGCCACAGAGATATTACAGGAAAGAGATGGCTGGGTTGACTGCATCTATCTGGACCTAAAAAAGGCTTTCGACAGAGTTCCACATAAGAGGTTGTTCTGGAAACTGGAAAATATTGGAGGGGTGACAGGTAAGCTTCTATCATGGATGAAAAATTTTCTGACTGATAGAAAAATGAGGGCAGTAATCAGAGGCAATGTATCGGAATGGAGAAATGTCACAAGTGGAGTACCACAGGGTTCAGTTCTTGCACCAGTGATGTTTATTGTGTACATAAATGATCTACCAGTTGGTATACAGAATTATATGAACATGTTTGCTGATGATGCTAAGATAATAGGAAGGATAAGAAATTTAGATGATTGTCATGCCCTTCAAGAAGACCTGGACAAAATAAGTATATGGAGCACCACTTGGCAAATGGAATTTAATGTTAATAAATGTCATGTTATGGAATGTGGAATAGGAGAACATAGACCCCACACAACCTATATATTATGTGAGAAATCTTTAAAGAATTCTGATAAAGAAAGAGATCTAGGAGTGGTTCTAGATAGAAAACTATCACCTGAGGACCACATTAAGAATATTGTGCAAGGAGCCTATGCAATGCTTTCTAACTTCAGAATTGCATTTAAATACATGGATGGCGATATACTAAAGAAGTTGTTCATGACTTTTGTTAGGCCAAAGCTAGAATATGCAGCTGTTGTGTGGTGCCCATATCTTAAGAAGCACATCAACAAACTGGAAAAGGTGCAAAGACATGCTACTAAGTGGCTCCCAGAACTGAAGGGCAAGAGCTACGAGGAGAGGTTAGAAGCATTAAATATGCCAAAACTAGAAGACAGAAGAAAAAGAGGTGATATGATCACTACGTACAAAATAGTAACAGGAATTGATAAAATCGACAGGGAAGACTTCCTGAGACCTGGAACTTCAAGAACAAGAGGCCATAGATTTAAACTAGCTAAACACAGATGCCGAAGAAATATAAGAAAATTCACCTTCGCAAATAGAGTGGTAGACGGTTGGAACAAGTTAAGTGAGAAGGTGGTGGAGGCCAAGACCGTCAGTAGTTTCAAAGCGTTATATGACAAAGAGTGCTGGGAAGACGGGACACCACGAGCGTAGCTCTCATCCTGTAACTACACTTAGGTAATTACACTTAGGTAATTACACACCAGTATACAAAGATGCGAATACATACATAACATAAGCATACATACCAGTGACACAAAGATGTGGGGAACAACTACACTTCAGTAAGGAGAGAGGCAGAGAGGAACTTTGAGAACAGTATAGCAGACAAATGTAAATCAGATTCAGGCCTTTTCTATAAATTCATTAAAGCAAGCTACAGGTAAAGGATAATAATCAGAGGTTGAAAATGGGGGGAAATACAACGACAATGAAAAGGAAATGTGTGAAACATTAAACGAAAAGTTCCAAAGTGTGTTTGTACAAAATGAGATCTTCAGGGAACCAAACACAATACAAATTCCAGAGAGCAACATAGAGCACATAAAAATGTCTATAGAGACAAAGTGGAAAAAGTGCTCAAGGAGATAAGTAAGAACAAAGCAGTTGGGCCAGATGGAGTTTCACCATGGGTTCTGAGAGAATGTGCACCCGAGTTCAGCATTCCACTTCAACTGATTTTTCAGGCATTCTTGAGTACAGGAGTTGTAGCTGATGTAAGGAAAAAGGGTAACAGTTCCAATCTACAAAAGTGGCACCAGGGAAGACCCCTTAATTATAGACCTGTATCATTAACAAGTGTAATAGTCAAAATATTGGAAAAAATTATTAAAACTAATGGGTAGAACACCTAAATGGAGACAAACACTATAATATCAGACAGACAGTGTGGTTTTCGATCTGGAAGATTCTGTATAACAAATTTACTCATTTTCTATGATCGAGCCACAGAGATTTTACAGGAAAGAAATGTTTGGGTTGACTGCATCTATCTGGACCTAAAAAAGGCTTTTGACAGAGTTCCACATAAGAGGTTGTTCTGGAAACTGGAACATATTGGAGGGGTGACAGGTAACCTTCTAATATGTTTGAAATATTTTCTGAAGAATTGAAAAATGAGGGCATTAATCAGAGGCAGTGTATCGAACCGAAGAAATGTCATAATTGGAGTACCACAGGGTTCAGTTCTTGCACCGGCAATGTTCATTGTCTACATAAAAGATCTACCAGATGGAATACAGAATTATATGAACATGTTTGGTGATGATGCTAAGATAATAGGGAAGATCAGTAACTTAGATGATTGTCATGCCCTTCAAGATGACCTGGACAAAATAAGTATATAGAGCACTACTTGGCAAATCAAAATTAATGTAAAATAAATGCCATGTTATGGAATGTGGAATTAGGAGATCATAGACCCCACACAACTTATAAATTATTTGAAAAATCTTTAAAGAATTCTGATAAAGAAAGAGTTGTATGCGTGGTTTTAGATAGAAAACTACACTTGAGGACCACATAAAGAACGTTGTGCGAGGAGCCTATGTCACGCTTTCTAACTTCACAATTGCTTTTAAATACTGTACATGGATGGCAAAATATTACACAAATTGTTCACTACCCTTGTTAGACCAAAGCTGGAATATGCAGTTGTATGGTGCCCATATCAGAAGAAGTACAGCAACAAAATGGAAAAGGTGCAAAGACATGCTACTAAGTGGAACCAGAACTGAAAGACAAGAGCTATGAGGAGAGGTTAGAGACATAAATATGCCAAAACTAGAATTTTGAAGAAAAAGATGGGATATGATCACTATGTACAAAATAGTAACAGGAATTAATACAATGGATAGGGAAGAATTCCTGAGACCGGATTTTCAAGAACAAGAGGTTATAGATTTAAACTAACGAAACAAAGAAGCCGAAGAAATATTAGAAAATTCACTATTGCGAACAGAGTGGTAGACAGTTGGAACAAGTTAGGTGAGAAGGTGGTGGAGGCCAAAACTGTCAGTAATTTCAAAACTTTATATGACAGAGTGCTGGGAAGACGGGACACCACGAGCATAGGTCTCATCCTGTAACTACACTTAAATAATTACTTAGGTAATTACGCACACACAAAATGTGTAGTGAATTTGAAAAATAGGCGAGATAAAAGAAATGTGCAAGAGGAAGTGAAAAAATTGGAAGAGAAAAAGTTACCTTAGTGTAAACAGTGCAGACGACAAATTTCAAGATGGCCTCCATCGAGAAGAAAAACACAGAGCTGGATCTTGGTGGATTCATTGAGGAAAACATTAACATGAGCAGTCTTCACAACAAGGTGGCAAAATTAAACATTATTGTGAACTATCATATAGAAATAATCAGTAATTTGACCAACTTTAGTATTAACCGAGTTTACTTGAAGCCACTAACACTAGTGGCCTCGACGAGGACAGGAGGCCGGCGGCTTATCGAAGGTCCCCCCCCCCCTTTTGCCTTGATGATCTTTTCCAGCTGCACTTTAAAAGTTAACAGAGTTTTGGCATTTACGACTTCGGCGGGTAAGTGGGTCCATGGATTTATAACCCTGTGGGTGAAAAAACATCGCCTGTTCTCCGTCCTTCATTATGGCTTGTTGAGTTTGAAACCGTTGCTCCTTGTTTGTGTTGCATCTGGCCTTTTGAAGAATTATTCCGGATCATCCTGCAAATTGTTCAGTATTTTATAAAGTTTCAATGAGATCTGCCCTGCCATGCCTGATTTGCATTGTTGTTAACCCTGTGGCCCTCAATCGTTCGCGATATATAAGTTGAGCTCTGGAATAATTTTTGTTGACTTGTGTTGCACTTTCTTCAGAGCAGGTATGTATCCATGCTTGGATACAGTAATGCAAATGGGATTAGCACCAGAGATTTATACAATTGAATCACTACTTTCTTTTCCTTACAGTAAAAAAAAAAGTAGCGAAGTATCAGATCCTGAGTGGCTAGTAAGAGAATTATGCAATGATAAAAATCACTGGGAAGCTAAGAGCAAAGCCATGGAGGAGGAATATGGTCCTGAAAATAGCTTTTGAAGAAGTTAAAGCAAATCTAAACATGAATGACTATAATAGGCAAGGTAAGGAAATTCAACATGAAAACCAGCTTTTGCCAGTACAGATGGAGGAAGTTATACAGTGCAAGAAAGATGGATATGGAACTTGCCTATGCACAAGTGGCCAGGAAGAAGACAAAAATAAATGCAGTAAAGGAAGCCAGAAACTGCAGCAATCAGGGAAAACAAACATTAGACTGGAAGTCAGAAAGGAACTGACATCAAACCTGAAACTGGTGCTAACTTCCCAGAGAAGAATCAAGCACCAGCACCAGGGAGGGAACCAGGGGCAAGCACCAGGGAGGAGGGCGAACCACCAACACAATGATAAAGTGACACCCGGCCAAAAAAGGCGAGCCAAAACCACGCAAGGCCGGTGGCAAGGCCCCGGGCACCTCAAAGAAATAAGGCCACCCAGACCTAAGATGATGGAAAACCTCATGCCTGAAAAACAGCCTAGGATAGGGTCGCAAGGACAGCCAAGAAAACGGCAAACTCCAAAACCCACAGGAGCAAGGAAAGACTGCAGGCTGGCAAACGAAGAAACTTTGTGGATGACTCAAGAGGGAAAGCCTTGGAACAGGGGACCCAGGAGACCGGATCAACTCACAAGGCAGCCACTGTGGCAGAACTGGCGGCATAAAGGGCACAGTGGAGGCTGCCACCTGACAACAAATGAAGCACCCCTGACCAAATCAAGGAACCCCAAATGACACAAGGACTCCTCCGTAGGTCAACTGACCCATGGCTAGGTTGACCTTCGATTGTGAGGCCCTAACCTCACAATCGCTGGAACAATGCTGTGTAAAGGGAAAGATGCCAAGACCGCGCCAACACTAAGATGTACATGTCCAGGTGCCTGAAAGTTTTACAAAACCACAGGAAAGAAGCGGCATCAATGGTCCACTCATTGGAGGTAGGAAGGAACTAGGACAGACTGTCTGCATGGACGTTGGACACTTCAGAACATAAAAGGAATGGAGATCCAGCCCCAAGAACCAAGAAGAAGGGCCACCTGAAGAGACCAGCTGCAAAGAGACAGAGGACCGAAGCAAATGCCCCCGGTTAAAATGAGGAACTGCGGGAGAAAGAGTCTAAATAGAGCCAGACCACGGAGCCCGGAGAAATCTTGAACCTTCCTCAGTGTTGGCCGTAAACTCCTGCACTGAATTGTGTACCCGATGAATGAAAGGAGACGAAGGCCCCTGACCAGCCCAATGTTCGCTGGTAACAAAGTTTCAGTCAAGAACCGCCGTGTCCAAGAAGACGTCAAGTGAGGGTCCAAGAAGGCATCAGGGAACCAAACTTCATAAAAGCTCAAAGAGGCAGCTGGCAACACAGCAGCCAACTGCAGGGCTAATGGAGGATGCATCCAGCAATAGCGGCAGTGGCAAAAAGGGCTGCCCCGGACATACCAGAACAGCCTTTGAAGCAAAACCTTGCCCAAGGGATAGACAAGGATAGCAAAGTTGAAGCTCTGTAAAGCTGTTCAAGGAACTGCCAAGTCACCCGAGGCCGACTTCACACCAGCAGACTATTGTCTGTATTACGTGTATTATGTGCAACAGTATTCCAGCTGGGTCAAGACCGCCAGAGGCAGAGAAAGTGACGCTGACTAAGAGTCCCAAACAAGGCCCAAGTCCAAGCCTGGGCACCCCCCCCCCCTTGTGTAACCAATGGAGACTTCTGCCAGTTCACTAGGAACCTGAACCCAGCAAGCTAGGAAAGAAGCAGATTCCTGGTTAACAGACATGCAGGCCAGCTTGTAGTCCACACCAGCCAGTCGTTGAGGTAGGCCAGAATCTGGACACCTAACAAACGAAAATGGGCCACCATGACCTGAGCCAAGCTCATGTCAACACGAGCAGTTTCCACCTGATTGGTTGATAAGACCTTGGACACTTCATTGAACATTAAATGAGTGCCAGTTGTCATGTGATTGGATGTTGAATGAGTGCCAGTTGCCACATGATTGCAGTGAAAACATGAATGGATGTACATACATGCTACAGGAAAACTGTGTTCACTTTAAGGGTCAATATAGTATCAGAATTCACATAATTACATTCCAGTCTGATGAGAGTTAATGAGACATGTGATGGACAGGTCCTTGCTGTGCAGGCGTGGTAGGGATGACAATGCCCAGATACTGTCTTTTTGGTGACACTGTCAACACTGCTTCCAGGATGGAGTCAACAGGTAAATAATGTACTTTTGTCTTCCCATTGTTATCCTAATGGTTAGTGGCCTTGCATAAAGGAATTACTATATAAAGGATATTTACTTCTAATCCATTGTTAAGGAATACCCTTCTCACACTTATTGCAGTTCTCTCATTGTTTAGAAGATATTTACATTGTTGTAAATACCATTGTTGCACTGATTTTAATTATAATCAATCTGGATCAACCTACAACCAGTCATACTTTTCTATCTGTTGAAAAATGAAAATGTGAGTTATGCTTAATTTTCAAGTTCGTTTAAAAATGGCCAGGGTTTCTCTTTTTCTTCTTTGGTCTTACAGTCAGACAAAGATTTGATGTTGTCTCCTTTAGGATCAGCGTGGCGGATTCACGTGAGTGATAAGACGTCGTCGGTACTGCGGGATGTGGGCGGCTACCATCTTGAGTACCGTGGTCTCACTACGCTAAAGGGCAAGGGAGAGATGAATACTTACTGGCTTCTTGGCAAGGAAGGTTTTAAAAAGGAGCTGCCAGTGCCGCCAGAGATAGGGTGAGCCATTCCTCCCTCTCGTAAACAATGGGCATATATATCTTGGTAGGTTAGAGATCTCCAATTAGCTGGGTGAGAGTTATATTATCTCCTATATACCTATATAGGTGTCCTGGGTGAGAGGGTGCCTATCAGAATAGGCATCTAGGTAGTTTAAGGGCTCTAGTTGGCTGAATGATTGATCCTATCTGGTAGAGCTCAGAGCCAAAGGGAAAGGCAGGACTAAGAATTTGAAGTAGATCTAGAGTGAAGAAAGGCAAAGTAATCAACACATTGTTAATGTAAATTGGTAATCAATTTTACTCAGGAGAAAGTTGTTCAATATAATATAAATATATTAAAAGTTAAAACTGTAAAGATAATATAAATATATTAAAAGGTAATTATGCTTGTGTATGTAAAGTTTCGCGGCAATAAGTTCTCTCCAGTATCTGTGCTGCAGTTGCTCATTTGATAACAATGTGTTACTCTCCCTTTTCCTCCCTGCTGCATAACAGGTACTCTCACAGGTAAGGTTGACACCACCCACTTGTGTATGGTTGACACCACCCCCTGCTTGTGTATGGTTGACACCACCCCTGCTTGTGTATGGTTGACACCACCCCCTGCTTGTGTATGGTTGACACCACCCCCTGCTTGTGTATGGTTGACACCACCCCTGCTTGTGTATGGTTGACACCACCCCCTGCTTGTGTATGGTTGACACCACCCCCTGCTTGTGTATGGTTTACACCACCCCCTGCTTGTGTATGGTTGACACCACCCCTTGTTTGTGTATGGTTGACACCACCCCTTGTTTGTGTATGGTTGACACCACCCCTTTATTGTGTATGGTTGACACCACCCCCTGCTTGTGTATGGTTGACACCACCCCCTGCTTGTGTATGGTTGACACCACCCCCTGCTTGTGTATGGTTGACACCACCCCCTGCTTGTGTATGGTTGACACCACCCCCTGCTTGTGTATGGTTTACACCACCCCTGCTTGTGTATGGTTGACACCACCCCCTGCTTGTGTATGGTTGACACCACCCCCTGCTTGTGTATGGTTGACACCACCCCCTGCTTGTGTATGGTTTACACCACCCCTGCTTGTGTATGGTTGACACCACCCCCTGCTTGTGTATGGTTGACACCACCCCCTGCTTGTGTATGGTTGACACCACCCCCTGCTTGTGTATGGTTGACACCACCCCCTGCTTGTGTATGGTTTACACCACCCCCTGCTTGTGTATGGTTGACACCACCCCCTGCTTGTGTATGGTTGACACCACCCCTGCTTGTGTATGGTTGACACCACCCCCTGCTTGTGTATGGTTGACACCACCCCCTGCTTGTGTATGGTTGACACCACCCCCTGCTTGTGTATGGTTGACACCACCCCCTGCTTGTGTATGGTTGACACCACCCCCTGCTTGTGTATGGTTGACACCACCCCCTGCTTGTGTATGGTTGACACCACCCCTGCTTGTGTATGGTTGACACCACCCCCTGCTTGTGTATGGTTGACACCACCCCCTGCTTGTGTATGGTTGACACCACCCCCTGCTTGTGTATGGTTGACACCACCCCCTGCTTGTGTATGGTTGACACCACCCCCTGCTTGTGTATGGTTGACACCACCCCCTGCTTGTGTATGGTTGACACCACCCCCTGCTTGTGTATGGTTGACACCACCCCCTGCTTGTGTATGGTTTACACCACCACCTGCTTGTGTATGGTTGACACCAACCCCTGCTTGTGTATGGTTGACACCACCCCTGCTTGTGTATGGTTGACACCACCCCCTGCTTGTGTATGGTTGACACCACCCATTTGCTTGTGTATGGTTGACACCACCCCCTGCTTGTGTATGGTTGACACCAACCCCTGCTTGTGTATGGTTGACACCACCCCCTGCTTGTGTATGGTTGACACCACCCCTGCTTGTGTATGGTTGACACCACCCCCTGCTTGTGTATGGTTGACACCACCCATTTGCTTGTGTATGGTTGACACCACCCCCTGCTTGTGTATGGTTGACACCACCCACTGCTTGTGTATGGTTGACACCACCCCTTGTTTGTGTATGGTTGACACCACCCATTTGCTTGTGTATGGTTGACACCACCCCCTGCTTGTGTATGGTTGACACCACCCACTGCTTGTGTATGGTTGACACCACCCTCTGCTTGTGTATAGTTGACACCACCCCCTTCTTGTGTATGGTTGACACCACCCCCTGCTTGTGTATAGTTGACACCACCCACTGCTTGTGTATGGTTGACACCACCCACTGCTTGTGTATGGTTGACACCACCCCCTGCTTGTGTATAGTTGACACCACCCCCTGCTTGTGTATGGTTGACACCACCCCCTGCTTGTGTATGGTTGACACCACCCCCTGCTTGTGTATGGTTGACACCTCCCCCTGCTTGTGTATAGTTGACACCACCCCCTGCTTGTGTATGGTTGACACCACCCCCTGCTTGTGTATGGTTGACACCACCCCTTGCTTGTGTATGGTTGACACCACCCCTTATTTGTGTATGGTTGACACCACCCCCTGCTTGTGTATGGTTGACACCACCCCTTGTTTGTGTATGGTTGACACCACCCCCTGCTTGTGTATGGTTGACACCACCCCTTGCTTGTGTATGGTTGACACCACCCCCTGCTTGTGTATGGTTGACACCACCCCTGCTTGTGTATGGTTGACACCACCCCTGCTTGTGTATGGTTGACACCACCCCTGCTTGTGTATGGTTGACACCACCCCTGCTTGTGTATGGTTGACACCACCCCTGCTTGTGTATGGTTGACACCACCCCGTGCTTGTGTACGGTTGACACCACCCCCTGCTTGTGTATGGTTGACACCACCCCCTGCTTGTGTATGGTTGACACCACCCCTTGTTTGTGTATGGTTGACACCACCCCTTGTTTGTGTATGGTTGACACCACCCCTTTATTGTGTATGGTTGACACCACCCCTTTCTTGTGTATGGTTGACACCACCCCCTGCCTGTGTATGGTTGACACCACCCCCTGCTTGTGTATGGTTGACACCACCCCTTGTTTGTGTATGGTTGACACCACCCCTTGCTTGTGTATGGTTGACACCACCCCCTGCTTGTGTATGGTTGACACCACCCCCTGCTTGTGTATGGTTGACACCACCCCTGCTTGTGTATGGTTGACACCACCCCTGCTTGTGTATGGTTGACACCACCCCCTGCTTGTGTATAGTTGACACCACCCCCTGCTTGTGTACGGTTGACACCACCCCCTGCTTGTGTATGGTTGACACCACCCCCTGCTTGTGTATGGTTGACACCACCCCCTGCTTGTGTATGGTTGACACCACCCCTTGTTTGTGTATGGTTGACACCACCCCTTGTTTGTGTATGGTTGACACCACCCCTTTCTTGTGTATGGTTGACACCACCCCTTTCTTGTGTATGGTTGACACCACCCCCTGCCTGTGTATGGTTGACACAACCCCCTGCCTGTGTATGGTTGACACAACCCCCTGCCTGTGTATGGTTGACACCACCCCCTGCCTGTGTATGGTTGACACAACCCCCTGCTTCTGTGTGGTTGACACCACCCTAACTTGTGTATGGATGAGAGTGGTGGTATACGACAGAATAACATCTCCCAGTCCACCACCACCACCACCACCACCACAGATAACATCTCCCAGTCTGCCACCACCACCACCACCACCACCACCACCACTATTACAGATAACATCTCCCAATCTGCCACCACCACCACCACCACTACCACAGATAACATCTCCCAGTCTGCCACTACCACCACCACCACCACCGCCACCACCACAGATAACATCTCCCAATCTGCCACCACCACCACCACCACCACCACCACAGATAACATCTCCCAATCTGCCGCCACCACCACCACCACCACCACTACCACAGATAACATCTCCCAATCTGCCACCACCACCACCACAGAATAACTTCTCCCCTTCTGCATCCACCACATTTTATTTTATTTTCTGTTCTTTAAGAATAATTTTATTCAATTCCCATACTAGCCATCAATGCCACTCGTGGCACTGTATTTCACTAGCTGTACAAAAATAATGTCATTCAGTTTCTTGTCACCGTTACATAAATTATTTTAATCCACATGTGTGTGTTATCACATTCTGTGCCCCTAAGGTAAGAATTTCAGTGTCTGTAAAAAGGATTGCCAACAGTCAGGCAAGAGTACATTCTGGCACCACTATCACAGCAAATTTTCAGTCATCCATGTCTGGTTATATTAGGTGCTGTGGTTGTCCATGTCTGGTTATATTAGGTGCTGTGGTTGTCCATGTCTGGTTATATTAGGTGCTGTGGTTGTCCATGTCTGGTTATATTAGGTGCTGTGGTTGTCCATGTCTGGTTATATTAGGTGCTGTGGTTGTCCATGTCTGGTTATATTAGGTGCTGTGGTTGTCCATGTCTGGTTATATTAGGTGCTGTGGTTGTCCATGTCTGGTTATATTAGGTGCTGTGGTTGTCCATGTCTGGTTATATTAGGTGCTGTGGTTGTCCATGTCTGGTTATATTAGGTGCTGTGGTTGTCCATGTCTGGTTATATTAGGTGCTGTGGTTGTCCATGTCTGGTTATATTAGGTGCTGTGGTTGTCCATGTCTGGTTATATTAGGTGCTGTGGTTGTCCATGTCTGGTTATATTAGGTGCTGTGGTTGTCCATGTCTGGTTATATTAGGTGCTGTGGTTGTCCATGTCTGGTTATATTAGGTGCTGTGGTTGTCCATGTCTGGTTATATTAGGTGCTGTGGTTGTCCATGTCTGGTTATATTAGGTGCTGTGGTTGTCCATGTCTGGTTATATTAGGTGCTGTGGTTGTCCATGTCTGGTTATATTAGGTGCTGTGGTTGTCCATGTCTGGTTATATTAGGTGCTGTGGTTGTCCATGTCTGGTTATATTAGGTGCTGTGGTTGTCCATGTCTGGTTATATTAGGTGCTGTGGTTGTCCATGTCTGGTTATATTAGGTGCTGTGGTTGTCCATGTCTGGTTATATTAGGTGCTGTGGTTGTCCATGTCTGGTTATATTAGGTGCTGTGGTTGTCCATGTCTGGTTATATTAGGTGCTGTGGTTGTCCATGTCTGGTTATATTAGGTGCTGTGGTTGTCCATGTCTGGTTATATTAGGTGCTGTGGTTGTCCATGTCTGGTTATATTAGGTGCTGTGGTTGTCCATGTCTGGTTATATTAGGTGCTGTGGTTGTCCATGTCTGGTTATATTAGGTGCTGTGGTTGTCCATGTCTGGTTATATTAGGTGCTGTGGTTGTCCATGTCTGGTTATATTAGGTGCTGTGGTTGTCCATGTCTGGTTATATTAGGTGCTGTGGTTGTCCATGTCTGGTTATATTAGGTGCTGTGGTTGTCCATGTCTGGTTATATTAGGTGCTGTGGTTGTCCATGTCTGGTTATATTAGGTGCTGTGGTTGTCCATGTCTGGTTATATTAGGTGCTGTGGTTGTCA